GTTGCATTTAGGGTTTAGGGTTTGGGGTTTGGGGTTTAGGGTTTAGGGTTTGGGGTTTAGGGTTTGGGGTTTGGGGGTTTGGGTCTCGGGTTTAGGGTTTGGGGTTTAGGGTAGGGTTTAGGGTTTCGGGTTTAGGGTTTACGTTTGGGGTTTGGGGTTTAGGGTTTAGGGTTGCGTTTAGGGTTTAGGGTTTGGGGTTTAGGGTTTAGGGTTTAGGGTTTAGGGTTTGGGGTTTAGGGTTTGGGGTTTGGGGTTTAGAGTTTAGCAGCTCGAGTTCGAGCAGTTACTGATCGAGCTCGTCACCCTGGTAACGGCTATCTCCGGCATTAGAAAAGCATCTTACTTGGCCCTTTGAACCCTGAAGCCTCACCCTAAATCCTGAACCCTAAAGCTAGCTCACTCGGGTCAGTCTGCTAAAGCACCCTAGCCCCTGAAACCTAAACCCTGTCTGGCCTGGCCTGACCTACTGCACGTTTTGTCGCAAATCCTCGTGAATTCGTCGGCATTTGCGCAAACTTTGAAGGCATTTGCGAAATCTGCATGGGCATTTGCAACAACTTCGTGGGCAGTTGCGATTTTCGCAGTTGCCGCGAATCCGCTAAAGCTTAAATCTATCCTAGGGTAGAGAGGTTAGGGTTCCCAGAGAGCTCAATGCTTCCCCATAGTTAAGGAATAAAGTAGTATCCAGGGTCTAGCATGAAGGTTGAAGGTATATTCCTTAATCAACGGGTACTGTGCTCTCTGGGAACCTGAGATATCTATGCAATCAACCATATGAAGTAACAGTGGCCATGCAGAAGTGAAGGTAGCCACACAGCGAGAACAGCGGCAATGACAGCACCACCACTCCCACTGCCACTACAGCTGCTACAAAAGACGAAATAATAGCAATAATGATGTTAATACTACCGAAAATGATACTCGTAATAACAGTCATAGTGGCAACTACTACTACTACTACTACTACTACTACTACTGCTACTACGACTACTGCAGGAGCTGGCAAACCATGTTAAAGACACCTTGAATGGAACCCCAAACCCGATCACGGGAACCCTTAAACCTTAAAACGGAACACGCGAGTTCTGTATGAAGGAACCCTTAGAGGAACCCCAAAACCTGGCCCGAAATCCTCAAACTGAAGGGTAGGGTTTAGGGTTTAGGGTTTAGGCCTTTAGGGTTTAGAGCTCAGGGGTTTAGGGGTTTAGGGCTTGGGGTTAAAACTTAGAATAGGGCTTTAGGGTATATTGTACGCCACTATATTCGACCCTCGACCCTAATCCATAAATCCCAAATCCTGCACAGCAATGCCTAAACTGCAGCCCCGACCCTTTACGATACAGCTTTATCTAGGGGCCTGAATAATTAGAACAGGGTTTCGGGGGTATATTACGCTAGAGTTCTCATAAGGAGTATGGAATAACAACACTGGTTATTTCTCAGGCTTCTATAACCCTAAACCCTATTTCCTGTAACCCTAAACCCCAAAAAACCTAAACCCTAAACCCTTTAACCCGCTCCTTCGCATCTTCGCCATCTTTTCGATCCTCCTCCTCTTCACAGAGCATCCAGAGCCGCGGGGTCTCCGCCTCGAAAGGACACTCTTGGGGTTCAGGCTTTGCAGAATTCCTCGGCCGAGCTATGGGTTTAGGGTTTAGGGTTTTAGGGCTTTAGGGTTTTAGGGTTTAGGGTTTAGGGTCTCGCTGTTTGGTTCCAGGGGAGACTGAACAATTGAAAGCCCTTGGGTCCTGCGTCAGCACGTGATGTGTAACGAGCTTCAGTGCTAGGCTCGAAGGAAACAGCCGGATCACATGTACAATACCGAACGTAGTCTTCATCACCACTTATTCCAAAGCCCCAAACCCTAAACCCACCTTACAAGTGATGTTGCGCGAAAGGAGAGTTATGTCATGGTCTGAAAGGAGGCGTTCAGAGGCAGCTGCGAGAAGTCAGCAGAGTGATGGAGTTGGAAATCAACAGGTTTCGGGTTCAGGGCTTAGGGTTTGGGGGTTTAGGGTTTAGGGTTTCGGGTTCGGGGCTTAGGGCTTTAGGGGGTTTAGAGGACACTCTCGATCAGCTCTTCCGGCTCTGTCTCCTACTGCTTGCACACTGGGGTTCGTTTTTCTTCAGTGCCCTTAGAACCCTAATTTAAAATGATGATTGAAAAACGATCCCCTGGAGTGCTAGTATCACAAGCATTAAAAACGGTTCCTAAGAGCACCAAAGCTTTGGAATTCCCTATATTATGCATCACACGACTGAAGCTTCGATATAGGGCTCCCCGCATCCTCGAGGATGGAGGCAACCTCGTGCTGTGCGTTCTTCTCCGCTGCGATCAAAGGCGTGTCGCCAAAGAGGTCCTGAAAGAAGCTGCGATTGGGGCGGGGGGGTGGCTCAACCGTCAAATCCCCTCAACCCTAAAAACTGAAACCTAGACCCCTCAACTCTAAACCCTAAACCCCTCAACCCTCAACCCTAAACCCTAATCCCCTCAACCCGAAAACGCTACAAACTCAAAACAATAAAACTTCGCTTCACCTTGCCCATGCCCCGTGCGTTTAGGCCTCTTTTGCGAGGAGGGCCCTGGTTCCACCGTCCTGCAAACCGCGGTCTACTGCAGGGGCCTTAACAATTAGAACAGGGTTTAGGGTTTAGAGCTTATGGCTGAGGGTTTAGGGTTTAGGGTTTAGGGCTGAGGGCTTGAGTTTGGGTTTCGGGCGGAGGGTTTAGGGTTTAGGGCTGAGGGTTTAGGGTTTTGGGTTTAGGGCTTAGGGTTTAGGGTTTAGGGTTTAGGGTTTAGGTATATTAAAGGACAGTTGTAACCATGAGCCTTAAGGAACAACATCATTAATCCTGCACCAAGGCCAGTGACTCTTCACTTGCTTCCCGGCCGAGGCGGACGACGAGAAGCGTTTGGAACTACTCAGACCCGCATAGTTCATGATTGGTGCTTTACAAGGCTTTTTTCTTTCATGCTCAGGGTATTTTACAGGGTGTTGATAGGGCTTGCTGAAACCCTAAATCCAAAACCCTTAAATGTAGGATTTGCAAATCACGCCCTAAGGGCACGTACAAACCCTATTCGCAAGGGCAAGCTCCTGAAACCAATGGCGGAGAATGGTTCTGCCTCGGGCCAGGGCTAGACACAGACTTACAATATCTTAAATTGAGTTACATCTTACTATACCATACTACACTACACTACACTACACTACACTACACTACACTACACTACACTACACTACACTACTATACACTACTATACTATACTATACTATACTATACTATACTATACTATACTATACTATACTATATTACAATAGATCATCATATAACATAAAAAATACAGTATAAGATACATGTAAGACCATATACTACAGCATAGCACAATGAAACGAGATACTATACTATGACATAACGCAATGTAACATCAAATGACGTAAGAAAAGACAAGCTAATACAACGTCAACAGAATGCAACGAAACAGACGAGCAGAATAGAATAGAATAGAACAGAACAGAATAGAATAGACTAGAAAGGAATGAACTAGAACATGCAATACAACAACCATTGTAACATACCATAAAATCCGGCAATTTATCGCATACTATAAGAAAAGACCATTTACTATACTTTAGTATCGTATAATATACCAGAATGTCGTGAAACATAGCATAATCTGGTATAATACAGTATGATAACATATAACGTGATATTTTGTTACATTATATTACGTTGTATAATCAGCTTCGATATAGTGTCATACAGCAAAGCATAAAAAATAAGCATGATACTATATCATATGAAAATGCAACACTATGTAATGCAGTACAATACAACACAGTACAACGTCGTACTATATATCATAATATGTTGTGTTATGCTGTATTGTACCATATTGTATTGTATTTCATTATACTATCTCATAGTATACTGTTTCATACACAAACTATTCTTTTTATACTTTACTAGTACACTATATCATGTTATTATACTATCGTACATCAGAATGGACTAGAATAGAATAGAATAGAATAGAACAGAATAGAATAGAATAGAATGGAATAGAAGAAAGTAGACCAGAATGAAATACAATAGAATAGAATCGAACAAGATGATATAATACAGGATAACATAATTTAATAGGACAAAATGTAGCACCATATCATTCGTACTCATGAACATCTGAGAAGGTCCAAGAAGTCAGACAGGAACTGAGAACTTGCTCGGCTGCAAATCTCAGCTGCTGCATTCCACATGCCCTCGCGCTGCAGCAACATGCCTATAGTGAACTTGGTACCCGTGCAAAAGAAAAAAACAAAAAGCAAAATGCTGTTTCTTCTGGATTATAGCAACCACGCATCAAAACTCAATTTCCAAGTACGCCTGAGATGCAGGGCTGTTCTGCCAAGGATGTCGGTCTTCAACGGGTCACACCTAGGGATGCTTGCGTTTAGGCTGCTTTCACAGCTGTGCCGTGACACAGAAAAAAGAAGCAAAAATGCCGGTTGTCAGCAGCAGGCACCTGTGTCGCAGCAAAATCGCCACAGCCTCCTCGGGACAGTCTTGAGAACGCGAGAGAACACACAACGGCAGGCAGGCAGGCAGGCTGGCTGGCTGCCTGACTGACATACAGACAGCAAGGCAGAGAGACCGAGCGAGAGAGAGGAGGGTCGCGCATAGACGCAACCTCCACAGACGAGCAGGTCAAGGGCAAAGAGTCGGCAGTGCAAGCTTGACTGCCCGCCTGCTACTTAACAGGATCATGAAACTTAGTAGCCTTCGTTTAAGTAGGGTAACTATACTTCTAATTGCTTCTAACTTCTAACCCCTATAAAAGTACTTATAACCTTGTATGACCCCTATAAAGGTACTTATAACCTGCTTACTTACTAAGTCCCATGAGCCTCCAGGAGCTGTTCTCGGCATCGCCGACAAGTGAGCACGTGAACACGGCAGACTACCTACCCAACACCTAGAACCCGAATAGCCGTGAAGACACCGATGAAAGCCTTGCAGACGCAAGCCCCATAATGTAGAACCCCCAATAAGTAGCACAGGGTGATACTTGACGCATGTTGTACTGTAATTCCCAAGGATTAGTACCGGTTGTTACGCAGGCTTCTACATTACCTGCTCGAGGTTCGGAATTTGCCCATTACCCTCCTAAACCCAAGGCCTACGCCCTAAACCCGTAACCTTTGAACCATGAACCCTAAGCTCCAAACTCTAAACCCATACTCTCCTGGTGGCCATAGAGCGCGGCCACATGCAGGGAGCTTCGACCCGTTAGCGGGTCGGGGAGTCCGGCGCCCGCTGCGAAGTCTCGAAGCTGCTCCAAGGTCGTCAAGACCTCCAAAGTGTTTCGAGCCCTGTTTTGGGGGTTCCTGGAAGGATCCTACTTGGGCTACTAGAAAGACTTTTCTGGGATATTGTTAGGGAACCTAAGTCAAGCTAATGTTTATAATGGGGGGGTCCATGGTAAACAAAAGTGTGGTTTCGCCTATCGTGGTAACTTAACTTAAGTTCCTTAGCAAGAACCCTAAACCCTAAACCCTTATTCTGGTAACCCTTGGACCCCAGGCCCTGAACCCTAACATGGTTTCCTCATTATGGCAACTGCACTGAAGCTCTTTAACAAGAACCCAGGCATAGTACTACTGCCCTCGTGGTAGCCCCTCTGAATCGTTTTAGGAACCCTGGAAAGGACCCTAAACCCTAAACCCCTAAACCCTAAAACCTGAACCCCTAAACCCTTCTAGAATCCTTTTGGGAACCCTAAAAAAAGGCCCTAAAGAGGAACCCAGCACTTCGGCGGAGTTGGGCTTATAGGAGGAGTGAGGGCTCGCGTATGGAGGCTGTAGGCTTTGGGAGGCTGGAGTTTAGGGTTTAGGGTTTGGAGTTAGAGTTTAGGGTTTAGAGTTTAGGATTTAGGGTTTAGGGTTTTTCTTCGGGAGACAGGACCAGAAGCAAACGGGAACTTCACGAAGCAAGGAACCCCAACTTGCCTAATGCAGGGTTCGGAATATTGACCAGTACCATTCCTTGTGGCTAGCAATACGAATTCAATACTATTCCTTTGGCTCTTTGATGCAGCTACACTGTAACATGCCCCAAACCCTGTTCGTTCTTCGGGCCCTTCTCTTAGATCCGAAAGGCACGATTCGTCTGAAAGGATCCCCCGGACACGGAAACCCTCAAGAATGAACTTAAAGGAACCCTAACAAGAACCATAAACCCTAAACCCCAAGCCCTAAAGGACCGAACTTTATCGAAAAACAGGCGACCTCCTCCGGCTTCGGCTGGCTCAACACCTGTTTAGGGGTCATGGTGGGCTTTGGGCTTTTGTGCTTTAAGGTTGAGGGTTTAAGTTTTGGGGCTTTAGGGTTTGGGGTTTGGGGCTCATATAAGGCTTAGGTTTTGGGGTTTTAGGGCTTCGATATGGGTTTCTGAGCATGTCCAAGCCCGGGAAGACACTCGCTTCCAGCATCATCGATCGTTACAGTATGGTCATACTTATTTATGGTACACTGATGCTGCACCTTGCTTTCTTTGCCCTTTTTTTGCCAAGCTGCCTCGTGGAGAAGTCGAACAACATCGCAAGGTTTGCTGGTTCTCCACCTGGGTTCTCATGAAGGAACGTAGTTTAAGCTACCGCTATGGGGATCTGTAGTACATAATATCGTTTCCTTATTGCTGCAACTTAAGTTAAATTCCTTACACCAGCACCCAGCCACAAAGCCACCACCTCCTGAGGTGTCTTCGTGCACGTCTGCACGCCATTGTGCGCAGTGTCCAGGGGGAGGAAGAGCTTTGGAATGTTGCAGCGGTGTTTGTCGACGGAATCCAGTAGCTGCTGCAGGTGTTTCCGAATGTCAAAGCCGTCCTTGTCCACCCAATCACATCGGCATCCGGACTTGAGGAGGATGTCGATGTAACGGCGGGAATCATCAAGAGAGGGACCATTGGCTAACGTTCGTGCATTCAAGACTGCTACAAACAGAGCCGTCCGACCAAATTTGTCGAGCTGTGTGGGATCCGCCCGGGAACGAATTAAGGTGTTCACCAAGTCTGGCTTGCCGTCGCTGACCGCCTTGTAGAAGTCAGCCTGTGTAGGTGAAGTACATGGGTCCTTGGCTACGATCCACTCAGTCGGTGGATATGAAGATATACACACATACATACATGCATGCATGCATACATACATACACATGCATGCATGCATGCATGCATGCATGCATGCATGCATGCATACATGCATACATGCATACATGCATACATGCATACATGCACACATACACACATACATGCATACACGCAAGCATGCATACCTACCTACCTACCTACATACATACATACATACATACATACATACATACGTACATACATGCATGCATGCATACGTACATACATGCATACATACATACATATATACGTACATACATGCATGCATACATACATACATACATACACACACAAACATAGCATATACATATACAAAAACATATACATATACAGATACATATACATAGAATAATATGATTAGAATAATATTATAGTGCTGCTCACTGGTCCTCTTGCTGGCATCAGATGCTAAGGACCCAGCAAGGGTCATCTGCTTGCTGCTCGGTGGAGAGCAGGCAGTCTCGTCAGCCACGCATGTTGCAGGCTTTCATGTCTCTTGGGCCAAATGTTGCCCCAAGACGCGCTTGCAGGGGAAGTCGACTCGAAGCAACAGCAACTGGCCTGAAGAGGAGATCCGAGACTCACCTGATTATTACGGATTCCTCTCCTCAGCCGCTGCGGCGCAAAAAAAAATGCTCAAGCTAACTCGAAGAACCGGCCCTAGACCCGAAACCCCTAAACCCCTAAACCCCAAAGCACTCCTCCAATCGAGCCTTTTCGCCCAGGTAGGCTTCAACTTCCTTCCGGCACTTCACCAGCTCGCCTTCCAGGCGGACCAGCCTGGCCATCGGAAGCGGCGTAGAGAGCGGGTTTAGGGTTTAGGGTTTAGGTTTTAGGGTTTAGGGTGTAGGGGTTTAGAGTTTAGGGTTTAGGGGCTTTAAGTTAAAAGTTTCGATAAGGGAACCATATAGGTTTCGGGTAAAGGGTGATTATTGCTGCTGTTGTTCTTAAAACTGTTTTGACTATCAGTATGTTTACAACCAGTATGACATGATGAATCCTATCATTATGAGTCTTATGAATGTTAGTATTTAGGGTATCTTGATTATTATCACTGTGAGGATTATTGGTAGTGGTACTACCTAGCAATTAAGCAAAGTTATAGGTAACCTATTGGGGCTAAAAGGACTTGTTTGTATAGCTAGTTACCTTCTGTTTAACCCTACAGTTACTAAGTGGGAGCCTTAGAACCGTAAACGCTTATAGATCCCTCTAAAGAAGCCTTCATGGAGCTCTTTAATGCAGTGCGTATTGACTTCGTTGCTATCGCCACGCAAGGTATGAATGCGCCACAACTAAGACGTCTGCTACATTGTCGTTCCTTTTGGGAGCTAACCCTAAACCCTAAACCCCAAACCCAAAATCCCTAGACCTCAAACCCTCAAACTCTAGATGCTAAACACGAAACCCTGAAACATAAAACCAACCCTAAGCCCCTAATCAAAATCTTAAACCCCAAGACCTTAGACCCTAAACCCTAAACCCTAAAAAAAAACCCAACTTCTCATGTAGGGGCCTTAAGAATTAGGATAGGGTTTTGGGCTCCACTATGGTGTACTTAGAATACGGAGCTCCGCTACGGTGTACTTAGGAATAAGGAACCCTACGGAATAAATATAGGTAATTAGTTGGGTAGTTCTCTAAATTAGGGTCCCTTTTTGGGTTCCCTATACAAAAGGAACCCTTATAAAAAAGGACCCCCAAAAGGGACCCTAATTTTGAGAACTACCCATTTAGGTTTTATAGCAAACAGCTAAAACCCCTGAATTCGAGCCCCAGATCCTCAACGACACAGCAGTGTCCTCGCCTGGGATCGGAAGGCTGCGCCCGACCTACCCAGGCTGCAAAAAACTGTCTCTGCCTAGCATGCGGGGGGGCCTGAATAATAATTCGAATGGGGTTTCGAGGACTCTTGTAGCACAATGAGATCAATACCCTAGACACTAGACCCTAAACCCTAAACCCTCAACCCTAAACCCTAAACCCTGATACCAAGGAGCCCTGGGGAGCAAGAGTGGTGATCTGAATGTGCCGAGCCACTGAGGATCGCTTCCATAGCAGCCGAGCTTCCGGCAAACCTGCCACTGGAGCAGAGTTGCAAAGTTTAGGGTTTAGGGTTTAGGGTTTGCAGGGGTTTAGGGCTTAGGGTTTAGGGGTTTAGGGTTTAGGGACGCATCCCCCCCTACCAAGCCTCTGAGAGAAAGTGTTGCTGGTGCCACGAGACGACTCGTGGTGTTCCTCGGTACCTGCAGATTGATCCATTTAGCAACTCTCACAGCGTGTACGTCTGCAAACATACATCAGCCAAGGACTGCTGGCGCCCTAAACCCCTAAACCCTAAATCCCAATCCCTAATCCCTAAACCCTAAACCCTAAACCCTGAACCCTAAACCCTGAACCCTAAACCCCAAAGCCTAAACCCTAAACCGGCCTCTGATCGGGGCGTCCACATCCAGCACCCCTGTCGGAATGCTTGTCGGTTCCGCTGCACCTCAGGGACCCAGCGGGGGCCGGGAGTGGCTCTGTAAATGGCACAGGCCTAGGCTTTAGGGTTTAGGGTTTAGGGAGTAGGGTTTAGGCTTTAGGGTTTAGGGTTTAGGGCTAGGGTTTAGGGTTTAGGGAGTAGGGTTTTAGGGTTTAGGGTTTAGGGAATAGGGTTTAGGGAGTAGCATAGTTCTGTTTTTCTCCCTACCGTTTAGGGTGTGTGGCCAGGGAAGTTTAGGGTTTAGGGTGATACATCCCGAAAAACCCATTTTAAGTTACATACTGAGGCCCTTATATAACCACTAAACGCCAATTGTGCCAGAATGTACCTGTGTTGATGCCCAGGGCAACCCCTTCAAAGTCAAACTCGCCAGTCGGGGTTTGCTCTGCCTCTGCTGCCTCCTCGAAGTAGGGAGGCTTGCCCGGGACGTCTGCAATGGAAGCAAAGGTGCCGAGTTCTTGCATCTGCGAAACCAGGCGGCAGGCCACACAGAAGCTTTCGAAATCCACCTCCTCCCCAGTTTCCCCATTCTCCTGGGTTCTTGCTAGGAATTGAATTCAAGTTGTCATCAGAGGGATCTAGAAGAAATAATCGCATCTCCGTTGTACGATAAACTTACAGTAAGTTCCTGAACAAGAGCCCAGTCTCCCCCGTGGCCGTGTAGAGGATGCTCTCCACCACTTCTTGATCCAGCTTGCCTAGTTCATGGTTGGTCATATTAGACATGTAAATATCTGTTCCTCGTTGAGCGTTGAAGTACACACAAACATGCAAAATGTTACCCAACGATGACAAGGAAACCTACTGATCACTAAACCCCCTCTTATCCCCCAATGCCCCAAACCCCTGAACCCCCTAACACCCTACCCAACTATGACACCCTAAACAATAAACCCTAAACCGTGGACAAGTTGCTTCCTAAGCCCTAAATGCTAAACCCTAAACCCTAAACTCTAAACCCTAAACCCCAAACCCTAAACCGTGGACAAGTTGCTTCTCAGCAGAAACTCTCTTGCTGCACCCTTTGCCACACCTCGGCGACGACGACCCCCGAGCTTCCTCAGAGAGGGCCCCAAGTCCCCCCAACAGCTTTCTCTCTGTGAACATGGAGGTTTCGGGTTTAGGGTTTAGTTTTGGGGTTTAGGGTTTAGGGCTTAGTTTTTTGGGGTTTAGGATTTTAAACTTCAGGGTTTAGGGTTTAAGGTTTTGGCCACATTCCTCTATGAGACCGTAAGACAATGAGGAAATATCCATAAAGGACTGTCCCGAAACCCCAAGCCGCACAGCCTGCAGCACCATCCCCTCTACCATCCCACCCCCCCAAGCGCTGAAAAAGTATTCTAATTTTGCCAACTGGATTCTTGTACGACTTCCAGCAGCCGGCTCGCTCTTCATCCGGCAGACTGCGCAGGCGTTCCAGTGAGATCTCTGGTGGACCTTTATCACCGTGGCCCATCGCGTTGCATAGCGACGAGAAGTGCCAGAAATGCTTGACTCAGTTTCCTGTGAAGGGTTAACACTCTGGGGTGTGGGGTATTAAAGCGCTATGCCTACTATCGTTGGGGAAGGTGTGCCACGAGCGTGCCCGGAGTTTTCCGACAGACGACTACCCTCAGCCCGCGAGCAGTGCTGTGCTCACCACAAACGGCAGATGCAAAAGCTGCGAATCGAAATTTCACACCGGCCCGTGTCTTACTGTACCCTGCCTTTTTCGAGGTGCGGTCGCTGTTCCCAGTGCGAGTTTGCTTAGGTCTTGTTGCTCTACTACTTGGTGGTTTCCGAAAATAGGGGACCCTAGCTTAGTACCCTAAATAGTAGGATCCTTATTATAAAGGACCCCAAAATAAGGTTGTTGCACTCGTGACGAGTGCATGACACAAGATTCTGGCAAGCAGACCTCTGCCAGATGCCCAGAGAACCCAATAGACCTTAATTAAGGAATATACCCTGAAATTATAGGGGCCTTAATATTATGATTTAAGGTATATTCCTCAATTAAGGTCTATTGGGTTCTCTGGGTGCCTCCTCTTGCGAAGGGGAAAATCCGACCGCTGAAGCTAGCTCGCAAGCTAAGGCTTGCCTTCTTTGCCTGTCTCAGGATGTCATATCTCTGTGTTCTCTCCAGCATGGCTGGTTTCGACTACATTCCTAAACCCTACACCCTAAACCCTAAAACCCTAAACCCTAAACAGTAAATCCTTCACTCGGCACAGGGCATTCAACCCACTTTCCGGTACTGCCTGCTCGCGACCAGGCAGTGTGCAAAGCTTTGGCATCTGGTGCCCTTCGGGCACGGAAGATTCTCGCCAAAGCCGGGACCCAGAGAGCCCAATACCCCTCAATTAAGGAATATAAATCATAGCACGATAAGAGTATGCCCCTTAACTAAGGAAGGAACATACTTCAAATCACCATATGAGGCCCCCTATAATCCACGGCAGGTTCCTTACTTGAGGGATATTGGGCTCTCTGAAGAAGGCTTGGAGTAGCTTCCCCGTATCGTCTAGATACAAGCGCTACTTAAAATTACACAATATCCAAGACCAGGCTCTTAGGATAGGGTTGGTAGGGCTCAGGGTTTAAGATGGCTTCAGGGCTTCAGGGCTTTAGGGTCGATCCTACAACCTGTTGAGGGCTTAGGGGTTTAAGGTCTTAAACGAAAAAACAGCAACTGGAGCATGGTCTTGCTATGCTAAGTTCTGGCACGCAAAGTAGCTGCCCACATTGTAGAGGCCTCAGTACTTCTGCCCGCACCAGCTTAGCCTTCCTACGCCTTGAACCGCCGAACCCTGAAAACCTTAGCCCGAAACCCGAACACCATGATAGGGTTTAGGGTTTTGGGTTTCGCGTTTAGGGTTCAGGGTTTTGTCAATCGTGAAATCTGAGGCCACCGCCGCTTTTGCTGCCGTGTCTGTCAGACAAATCCGGCTCCCCCGGCGGTCCTGGCTCCTTTGCAGAACTCTGAGCAGAGGAAACCTCCCTAAACCCCACATCCCAAGTTGAACACACCCTAAACCCCTGAACCCCCAAACCCCCACACCCCCCAAACTGCAAACCCTGCACCAAAGCCTCGTTGGGTTGCTCTGGAAGCACCACAGCGGGCGCCTGGATGAATCGGCTTTGGCGATTTTCCGTTTCTTGCAATTGTAACAACGTAAGTAGCGTTCAGGGTTTAGGGCAATACTAATAGTAGGCCTAAGAAGAAGAAAAACGGGAGTATGCAGCATTGCTAAAATGACAATGACAACGACAATAACACTAATGACGATGACAGTGAAAATGACAATGACATTGACAATAACTCTAAATGACAATCACGGTTTATACTCCTGATGCTCAGCATCAAGCCTTGTAAGAACAACATCAACGTGTAGGGCCAAGTGCAGGAGTTACTGTTCTAGCTTCATAACATCTGGCGTTCTCTGAAGCTCTTAAACTTGTGTAACAGATGGCCGAAGCGTTTTAGACACAAGATAAACCATAAACCCTGTACCGTAAACCTGAAAAACTAGACCCTGAAGCCCTAGACCTCTAAACCCCTAAAGCCCTAAACCCTAGAGCCCTAAACCCCTAAGCCCCTAAACCCAGGAACCCTTAAAGGAGCCCCTTTAAAGGAACCCTAATCCCCGAAGCTGGGGGGAAGGCCGGAGCTTGCGGAGCTGGCTGTTGCGGCTTTCGGCCGACTGCTTCCCAGATCTTGGCGACATGCAGGGTCAACTTAGGGTTTAGGGTTTAGGGTTTGGGGTTTAGGGTTTAGGGAGTTTAGGGTTTAGGATTTAGGGTTTACAGGCAGGGCGGGGCAAGGGCAGGACAGGGCGGGCAGGGCACCTAAAAGTGCCTTTGGCAAGGTCGTTGTAGTGCGGTGTGGTCTTTGCTAGGGTCTGCTATTTTGGAAAGTCGCGTGTGCAACCACAACCGAACAGGCTGCCATGAATCCGCGCAACTGGTCATGTCATACGATGGTTGTCTTAGACTGAATCCCCAGTCCGGATCCTGATTGCCGGAAACGCCCAGTGGAACAACTAGCTGCAATGAGCGACAATTCGTGCAACCGTCATAAACAAAACTATAAACTTCAGAGCTTGTGACATTCCTACAACAACGCGATATTTCCAACAAAATCCCCATGAGACCCTGCAGAATCTAGCCCCACCCCACCGCATTTGGTATCACAAGCACCAATAGCATCATCCACTGTCCTTGCCGACGACAGCATCAACACCGCTGCACACGCCATCACGTCTGCCCCCCCCCCAGCCGCATGTGTTTTTTCAACACCAACGCAACCTCAACATCACCATCCTCGTCATCGTCACGCTGCCATGTGCTAGGGGCAGGACGGCGGGCATCATTGCCGAGTTCTGACGTGAGACATAGTGTGGCCACGCCTGCACAAGAATTGGTAAAACTGGGCCCTCCGCCGTCGAAGGGGTAACGGTTTCGGGTCTGGCGATCGACTTCTCACCAAACTACGTATGTATGTGTGTATTTTTCTTCCTTCTTTGCATATAACCCTAAACCCAAAACCCTTAAGCATACATATACATAGTGCTACCATCCTTGCCGGATCCACCCGGATACCGGATCATGTCCCATTTCTCTAGTGCTCCTGGCTCCTTCTACTTTTGGAGGCCCTTATATACGGTAGGGTTTAGGGTTTAGGGTTCAAGGTGTAGGGTTTAAGGTTTAGGGTTTCGGGTTTAGGGTTTAAGGCTTAGGGTTTAAGGCTTAGGGTTTCGGGTTTAAAGGTTTAGGGTCGTATTCTGGGAATGCCCCACCTACCTTTGTCCCACCCTGGCGCCCGTGTAATGCTTGGGCCCTCAAACCCTGAAGCCGCCCTGATCTCTCAAAGGGGTCAGGGTTCAGGGTGTAGGGTTTAGGGTTTGGGGTTTAGGGTCTAGGGTCTGGGAGTTTAGGGCTTAGGGTTTATGGTTTGGGGTCCCAGGCTTCGGGTTTAAGGTTTCTAGGTGAGGTTCTACCCTCACAACAATGCTGACAGCTGCTGGGGAGGATCGTCGAACATGTTCAACGCCCGTGCCTTAAACCCGGAGCCCAAAACCTCAAAGCCCGGAAAACCCCTGAGCTATAAATCGTATAACCATCCACAAGCCTACATCAAAAAACCCAAAGCAACCGTAAGCCCCAAAGTTGAACGCTAAACCCTACAGAGTGGGCCTCTGGGCGCGAAATAGATTGAGCTTCCTGGGCCAAGATGGTTCGTCGTTTGGTGCGTAAGGCTTAGTTTAGGGAGTTTAGGGTCTATACAGGCCTGCCCTAAACCTTTAGCCCGAAGGGCTCAGGATACGGCTAGGGACAACGATTAGGGTCTCAGGCTTTGGGTTAGGGGTTTTTCAAGGAACTCACAGCTACCTTGCGACCGGGGCGCCCAATCCGAAATATCGCGTCTCATCAGAAACAGCAAATAGGCCTGCTGATGTCGGCCAAAAGAGAAACGAAGCTTTGAGCTTAGGCCTAAACCCCAAGCCCTAAGCCCTAAACCCATAACCCCTAAACCCTAAAGCCTAAACCCCTAAACCCAAAACGCCTAAACCCTAAACCTGGGGGTTCATGGCTTCTTTCAGGGCTTGTTGGCCGTCAGGATGTCAGGGTTTAGGGTCCACAAGTTCTAGGAGACCCTAAACACTAAACCCTAAACCCTAAACCTAGATCACCCTACACCTAGGAGACCCTAAACACTAAACCCTAAGCCCTAAACCCCAAGCCCTAAGCCCTGAACCCTAAACGCGAAACCCCTAAACCCCTAAACCCCTAAACGCTAAACCCTGAACCCTAAACCCCTAAACGCTAAACCCTAAACCCTAAACCCCTAAACCCTCAACCCTCGACCCTAAACGCCCCAAAACCCTAAACTTGGGGGGTTCATGGTTTCGGGCTTCGGCGCAATTACCAGCTCGCAGCCTCTCGGGTAATGACCTCGTTGTCATCCGCTCTCACCTTTTCAGGGAGCTCTTAGTGTTGTTAGGGTTGTTAGGGTGTTTAGGGTTTAGGGTTTTTAGGGTTTTAGGGTTTTTAGGTCTTTTAGGGTTTTTAAGTCTTTTAGGGTTTTTACGGCTTTTTTGGGGCTTCGGGTTTAGGGTTCAGCGACTTTGGGGTTTAGAGTTTCGGTCGCCACTGCCTCGTGGACATCTGTGTCATTGAAGTGGTAGAAACGATTGTGCAAGTGATGCCTGGCATTGCCAGCTGCATGCGGAGAAACCAGCGACACCCCGCAACCCTAAACCCTAAACCCTAAACCTTAAACCCTAAACCCTAAAATCCCTAAAGCCTAAACCCTAAACGCCCTAAACCCTAAACCCTTCTGGCCCTTCGGGAGCCTGCAAATGGCTGTATAGTGACCACGGCCTGCATGCCCTATGTGGTTGGCCACCTCAAGGGCTCCACATGATAAGTTCAGCCATCTCATGAGAACGGTCCCGAGATTTGCGTGTAGGATCC